TATATATATATATATATATATATAGTTGTTTTTGAAGGGCAGTACTTCATCTCGCAGTGGAGTGCGGCGAACTGAACTTACCAGTGGAGGCGGCAATTGATTTCTTTGATATGGTGGCTGAGGACATTGAGAGGAATACCCTCGAAGTGTGCGTAGGCCTTGACGATGATAACGGGGGAGTTAGGAGAAATAAATTTATAAACTTGAATTAAAGGCTGGTCAACGGTGCGTTCCCAAGTAGGGTCCAAAGGGTCGTGTGGCTCCTTCTCCTCCAAAAACTGAAATTCATAGGCAGCGCTGCAGCAAAAACCAATTTCCCGCAAGTAAATGCAGGCATAGAATTCGCATTTAGCTCGCATATCTTGGGTGATTCTTCTTTTTATCTCCTCTTGTGCTGTGTCTCATTCTGGGCTAATCTGTGCAGGATTCGGGTCGTTTTTCTACGCATTGTTCTATGGCATGCTATTTTGCGCTGTATTCTGTTGTGTATTGACGTGTTGTGAATATCCCGCTCGGAAACCAAGTAAGAGAAGACTCTTAAACATAGCAGCTCGGTGGGCTCTTTACATGGGAGTCTGGTGTTTCAGTGCTGTGTCGAAATTTATTAAGTCATCGTAGTTCCTAAACAGACGAGCTGCACACGAAACACGAAACAACACAACTTGCTGCAATGCAACGCCATGCGAACCAACGCAAGCAAACAGAAAAGGCGCGGCACAACAGAAAACCGCAACAAGAAATAATGCTACCCAACACAGTGTAGTGCAACTCGAAACAGCAAATATCAAGACAACATTGTCCACTAAGACGTTCAGCCCAAGAGAGCACAACAAAATGAAACAGAAGACAATGCAGCACACATCTGTGAAACTAAAGACAAAACAACACAATGCCTGGCATCCTAAACCCGGACGCTAAGCCCCTAAACCGTAAAACACAACAGAAAACAATTCATGGACGCAACAGGCAGCATATTCCGTTCCAAAGAACAGATTCAACAAACGATTCAACGAAATAATTACAAGAGCTGACAACACGGTAGAGGTGTCACGGGAGGAAATACAAATACAGTGCACATCGCATGGAAGCAAAAGCAGCTACCACACCGGAATGAACAAACCACAATAATAATGCACTGGTAATTAAAATAAAGAGTTACTACATGCAACTAGAGAGGTAAGGTTCAACCTAGCAGACGAAAAATGACGCTTCCCGCACCTTCGGATTTGATTGACAAGCGTTGCGCTTCTTCTCCTGCAACAACATATTGCCAGTACAGAACGTTTTGTCCATCTGATGCTGAAAGTTTAGGGCTTAGGGTCTTTTGGGTTTTGGTTTTAATGATTACAAAACGCTATTTCATTCGTTGTGTCGTTGTCGTCTTCCCCGTATCCTCCCCTATTATTTAAATCCCAGCAGAGCCGTTCCTACTTTCCGAAAACAATGCTGGTTTACTGGAAGACTGATCTTCAGGATTGCGCATTTACTAGTAGCATAATTTAATTAGACACAAGAAATATTGCTAGGATACGTTGTTTAGCGCAGAGAGTAGAGCAAGGACTGGCTTGGCCCTTGCCTCAGGCACCACAGATACAGGGGTGATGTTTAGTTGCATCACCATATGATCGTGATCAAAAATGATCATTCTTACTCACACCACCATCTCCCTATGCTGCGCCTGTGTGCTGACAATACTTTCGTACCTTTGCTTTTGTCTTCTGTAGTGGAATCTTCTGTCTGGGTTTGTGTCTGCGTTTGTGCCTGGCTTTGCGTGGGGTGTCGGGAGGCCCTGGAGGTGCTTCGTGTGTTGCTCACAACGGACGAGGTCTTGCGGCGTTGTGTTTTGACTGCAGTTGAAGCGGAAGGGGGTAGAGGAAGCTGCTTTGAAACAGAAGCAGGAGCAGACGAATTCGTTCCGTCCAGTGTACACCCCAGAGCCCGCTCCACAGATACTCCGTAAGTCAGTGCCACGTTGAAGTTCTCCAGCGGGCGCAACTCGCCCTGAGTAGCAGAACCACAACAAAGGGGTTCGCTGAATACGCTGAAACAAAGAGAATCACTCGGTGAACAATATAAATGCAAACCACGCAAAGACAAGATATCTATTGCACACACCAGCAGAGTGAAAAGGCATACGCACCTCTAATAGGAATCAGTATGCGTAATTTACCACAGGGAATGAAAATTTAAACAGTGCGCCCGCATCCAGACATAAGAAGCATAAGAATGAAACATAAAAGCGCGAGTAAGTGGAGTGGACAGGCATATGTCAGCAACACAAGCGATCACATGACAACCAGCATTCTCCTGGCTTAATTGTAGGAATGGGTGGGGCAGCGGCAGGCAGCCAAGCGCTCATGCATTGTCCAAACCCAGTTGTAACCTTGCAAACCCTGAACCCTTGACCGTACCGTAGCCTTCTAGACCCTATACCCTAACCTCTGAATCTTAAATCACGTTGTATTCTTCTAAATCCTAGACCGTAAACCCTGTGGTAGCCTTCTAAACCCCAGACCCTACACCCGTTTGCAGCCTTCTAAATCCTACGCCCTCCGCCCTGACGTAGCAGCCTAAAAGGAGCGTCAGTGGGCGCGAGAGTTTAAATGCTGTTCAGCGTTCTTACTGCGAGTGTCTCCTGCACGAGTTCTGGCTTTTCTTCCGCTCCATTTGATTCGTCTGATTCAAAATTGCTGCCCGAAAACGCATCTGTAAACGAGCCCCCATCGGATGACTCGGCGTTCCTTCCCGCCGTGCAGTCATAATGCAGAGCTGCAGCAGCAGTATAACAGCAACACAGCAATCCCCTAATCCGGCCTATCAGCTATGTTGCACATGAGTTGGGCCACGTAGTATTCATGCTGAAGTCACTTTCCCTCCGCGTTTTTCCTACGCCGCCTTCAAGCGGTATTTGTGGAGGGGGGGAATTGTATCAAGCTGCATTCATACTGCACTGTTCTGTGGTTATTAAGATATCTTCATGCTATATGCACACTGAGGTAAAATCTTATTGCCACGGACACTGTAGGAGGTCTCCTCCTTTCATGACAAACGTCTGCACCCCTTGGCTGTTATCGGCGTAGAAGAGGCAGCGCTCCGTTCGTTCGTCCTGCAGGCAACCATTTCAGCTTATTTATTCCACAGATATCGAATTACCCTGGTTGATTTGAAGCAACTATGAATGCCTGCCCACAGAGAGGCATTTCGCACTCACGAGTTTTGCCTGTCTAGGGTTTGGAGTCTTCGACTTTTGAAATATCTTTTGAATTTCCGCGTCGTTCATCATGCGGATCATCCGCAGCACCACCGGGTGGAGGTTTCTTCTCCTGTTTGCCACAGAAATAAGAAAGCCACAACTCGCTGAAGTTCGCTTTAAATCATCCCCTTTTCCAAAACCAAAAGTATCTTTCAACTCAGCACACTCTAACCAGCCCTAGTTGGTTGAGGGAGTGCACGACAGATTAGCCCTTAAGCCTTCGGGTGGGATTTTCTGCAACCGTTTTATTTTTCTTGGGTTTGAAAGGGCAACCAAGGGGAAAGGAGTCAGGTTACCTTAAGGTGCCTGCACACTGTGTGCAGACGTAGCAAACCATTGCACACATGCATATTTCGTTTCTTGTCATGTGGTCATAATGCGCCTCAAAGTAGTCGAGGTACAGCCACAGACAATGTCCCACATCATCGCGGCTCCTGAGGCACATGGCACCCGATTATACGTCTTGTCTTCAGCACAAAATCCTTCTTAACGGTCTATTGATTGATTCGGACAGAAACCTTCATTCTCTGAAATCTGTGGGCTCCAAGAGCCCCGTCAGCCTGTTCACTTCAGCGACAGCGCCGAGAAGGCTTTGGCTGTTGACCCAACTCACAAAAAAGAATACAGAAGTCGCAGCTGCGCACGGGCAGTTTTAGATATGTCTCCCAAACGAGCCAGGACCTTCAAATGCGCCGCACACCCACATGCAGGTCTTTACAGTCCCAAATGAGATAATAGCTGCCTTGACAGAACCTACTGCCGTGACTCATGACTCGAGGGATGTTCAGGCGAAAAGCAACACTCGAATGCAGCACGCGCTCAAGAAGCAATAGCCCCCTGCTCATAGCCCTACAGGCTGACTCAATTAACACGGAAGGCACCATTTGAAATTACCTAATACTTCACTGCTGCTGCCGTTGGGTGCGCTGTTTCACGTTTCTAGCGAAAAAGAGAAGTAAGAAGCCGCTGCCTCATGCTGAGGTTACCTCGTACTCCATGATGACTTTAAAGATGAGCTGCAACTGCGCATTGCTGCTCGCGAAGTGGTATCCTGCCCAGCGAATCAAGTGATCGATTTTCTTCTGAAAACAGCAGAAATAAGACTGCTACTCAGAAGCATGAAAAGCCTTGAGGGAGCTATGTCTGCAGGTGTTATTGCCAGTGCAGCTGCAGCTATCTGGTAAAGGCAAGGGTCCAGTCGTTCACCTTTTGCTGGGTTGCCGCAGATGTTTTCTTTCTCAAGCGGCACATGTCATTAGCCATTGCAAAGCCAAAGCCAAGAAGGCCCCCGAAAAGCAAACCAAAAAGCATCATCACCGGCCCCCACGGCATGAGCATTACCAGGAACCCTGCACGACAAGGCGCATCCTGTGTTATTCGAGGCCGTCGTTAAGATTATACTTAATTATAAAGGTCTATGAGGTTGCAGTAAGACGCAATAGAATCTGCACACACACCTCCTGCAGTGTTGACTGTCCATTCAGTTGTCGTCGACCGGAATGGAAAGAGGCTCTGAGCCTTCTTTGCGTATGCCAATTCAAACTCCTCGCTTTCCGGGATATCTGCGGCATCTTGGCCAACGCGACGAGCCCAGTACTTTAAATACCTGCAGAGTCAAATTTCCGCGCAGGTCCGAGTTGTGCATCAACCTTCAACTCTAGGGTCCCACGGCAAATCTGTTCGTGGTGCGCTGGCGTCTTAGAAAGCGCAAATGGGGGATTAAAACATCGCTGGCTCACCCCTGAGGAACGGCAGGATCCGTTATGGGGTCGAGTGCCCTTTTCGAGAGGGTGTGTGCTGTTCTACTGGCCCTGCTGCATGGGTTGCTAATGGTGGTGCGGCCACCTCCCACGCAGCTTTCATGGTAAAAGGGGTTGCTTTCGCTGGCTTGTGCCACCTGTTCAGGAGCAGCATGGTCCTTGTCGATGAGGACCGACAGAGGCTCGCGTTGCGTGCGTGGTTCGGTTTGAAGGGGCTCTCCAGAATGAACGACTATACGACAGAAAGGTGATGATGATGAGTTCTGCTCGCTTTGAACTGTCCTCATTGTTAAATCCCGCCTGAACAGCACAAAAATGTAACAGGGGCAGAGTTCGATATCGTCCTTTTAGACCTCGTCAGGAATGGGTTAATTGCTGTTGGTAAAGGCGGCATTGCTGCAACCCGGGCCTAGGAAAGCACCCGAAGAAGATTCGTTCATACACGAAGCGGTGGAACCGCTTTGTCTGTTCGCGTGTTTCCTCCCCCATCAGGACCTCCTTGTTATTGCATTTTGTGTATCTTCCTAAAACTGACGGCAATGCAGTAGTTTAGCAAGCTGAACCCATCCGATGTTTGGAAGTTCGTACCTTATGCATGTGGATTCGCCTTAGCTCAGGGCACGTTCGTCTTATTCTCTCCCGGAGGCATCCAATCATGAATTTACAAAGTAAATTCCCATGCCGTGGTCTTTCCACGTTACTTCGCCATGTCGGGGGACGGGGACAGCTGCGAAACAGAAGGGGGCAGAGGCCCCTCGAGACAGTGACACAGAGCCGCTCGATGGTTTTAAAAAGGCATCTCACGGCTGTTCTCGAAATCCAGGTACTGCAAGGGGCGTAAAACTTCGTTACTTGCGCCGCAAGTTCCAGGAAGCGCAATGGATTCGGGGACAGGAAGGCATGCAGTCCCTAGTCCCTAGAGCTTTTCAAAAACAAACATGACAATTGAAAGTTGAAAAATACATTGTAGATTATTTCACTGAGATGTGATTGGCGGGGCCCCCGAAGGGAAGACGAATGATCACACCAGTATCGAAGCAACAACCACCGGCGCCGTCTCTTCGAGTCAACGCAAGCTGATCTCACATCCGATCGCTACAGCACAAGCTTGTAATACCACATCGTATTCGAAAACAATCAAGCACGGAAATTGATTAAAACTACTGGCCGCATTATCCGCTGGACTGCGGAATTTATGTTTCCGTGTCTGGGCTCTCAGCTTTCTGGGGCCTCTCCAACCATACGTTCACGTTCCTGAAGACTTCGTCGAGACAAACAACTAAGAGAAGCTTTTCTTTGAATAGCCTGCGGATTCACGTCTTGAGACTAATTTAGAGTAATACCCGTTGACCAATTTGCCGACCTTTCGAGGACCGAAAGGCGTCTCTGGCTGTTCCAGCTGCGCTCCAAAGCAAATTCACGATCTTCTACACTTTGCAAGTAAATGAACAGTTGAGGGATCATCGTAGGATCTGAGGGAGCTCGATATTTGGATCTATCGTATTCTCTTCTCGTGATACAATGCATTGCGTCATCCACACATGCATTTACGGCCTCGCCGTATTCATTAGTTAATTGGAACCATATGTTATCCCCAACAGTTTTGCGGATGAGATTAGCTGTATTAGGAGAAACTAGTACTGGGTGCTGCTCTACTCTCAACTCTTCTACTTCAGCGGGAAAGCCAAATTTATCTGGTGTTGCAATTGCGCATACCATTTGCGTGAAGAGCTACTAAAATGTCTCTGGGCTACAAAAACCATGCCAAAACTGAAATATAAGAACTGAGGAAATCGCTTTAAACAAGTTGCTCTGATTGGCTTTAGCCGCTCCAAGTAGGTTTGTCGGGGCGCCCCCCCAAACACATAGGATATTTGACTGTTCCGTACGCAAATCTATGTCGGACAGGCTGTGAGATTAGGCTCAGATTTGCTAAGGAGACTCGCATATTTACCTGTGTGGTTACATACGTCTCAGGTGCATAGAGACAAGCCACCGCTTTAGGCGAGTTGTTGAATACGAATATCACGATAAATATTGTTTTTGTACTCCCAAGAGAGCGTGTCATGCACCACGTTTTGGGGCTGCACTTTTGCAGCCCAAATTTTTTCCGGGATTTTTTTTTGAAGAGCATCATTTCTGTCTATTGTGCTGACACATCCACATGAGGAAAAACTGATAGCGGTGCAGAGACTATCAGTGGTCGAGGTAAATCCTTCACTTAGATCAATACCCACTCAGTCCATCTTGACTGCAGGGGATGTTGAAAAGAAGATTGTGGCAGAAGTGGACGATGACCTAGGAAGCGTAGTCCAAGTGCGCTTTAATCTTGCTCATCGAGGATTGGTTGGTGCGTCCATGGATGCCCTGAAGTGAAGAATATAAGTTGGAACGACGGAGTATCAGCTGAGCTGAGCAAGCTGCATTACCACGAGGTAGGCCCGCAACGCCAGCCTTGGATCATTGATGTCGTCAAGCAACCGAGGCTTAAGAGCAGCGAGAATAGGTTCAGCCTGCACGCCAAAATGTAATGAAACTGAGGGAGGCGTGGAGATTTGGGGACGTTTCTTACAAGACTAATTATGTCAGGCCCGAGCAACGATATCAGAATTTCGCGCAAGGCTGCTCTCAACATAACCGGCTGACGGCTGTAGGAAAAGATGAACACGGAGAGGGCGAGCAGTCCTAAAAACGTGAATAATGAAAGAACCGGTGGAATTTACGTCTTTTTAAGCGTCTCACTGCAATCGATTAGGCTGTTGCAGTGCAGGAAAGCAAGAAGTCGGCAGCATGTTTCTCGGTCAAGCAAGAGCTCTTCTTGGACACTGAAGAATTGCTTCGTCACGTATTCGAGCCCGGCTATGTGCAGGAAGTCCAGAATGTCCAGAGCAGTTGCTTGCTGTGAAAACTGAATACATGACGCACAAGAACCTTGCTTTTAGTATAAATAAAGCGTACACTGAACGAAAAGCCTCCAGTAGAGCTTAGAGAGGCAAATACGGCGGTCTCCAGCCAGGCCAAGAGTTCTGGAGCGCAGGCGTGCTCGAGGTTCATCAATTTCTGTATTCGTCACAACTTAGTTCCAGGCGGGTGAGAGGCGATGCGCATGTGAATCAACCGACCAAGAAATCCTCGTGATTGGCTTCATTATTTTGTGACTCGAACTGAAGCAGCAGTAGCTCCTAAGCGTCAGTGGTGCCAGTAGAGCGCTGTATGGATTTGCGATGCATACCTGAGCTGTAAGCTTCAGACAACAACTTGCTAAGATCTGGGGAATATCCTCTTTCTGTATGCCGGTTAGTGCATCTTGAACCAGGGAGAAGGATCTTTGGTCCGAGAAGAGCGCTGCAAGCGCCTCACACGCCTGCATGAAGGCATGAGAGGAAGGCGGTGCAAAACAAGACTGCCAACGAAGCTCACCTTAAAGGCAGCTCGTTCACCGTTCTCAAACTGCAGCTTCCGGGCCACCAGAAAGATCCAAGCCTTCACATCCAGGTAGTCGCCTCGTGTCAGACCAAGTGCGGTCAGCATAGAATGAGGAACTGCATGGGACGACGGGGTATCTTCCCACGTAGAGCGGAAAGTCCGCATGAACCGTGGATCCAGCTCGACGCTCGTCATCGCTACCGTGCACCTTAACGTAGTTAGATGTTAAATAGAAGCGCTTCCGCTCGTTTCATATTCAAGCAAGCAGCTCGCAATAGCAACAGTTCAAAAAAGGAAAAGTGAACAGCACTCCAGCGTCCAAATGGGGTCTGCGGTGTACAGACGATAGCCGGCAACGTACAACGGGATCCTGCACGTTTCAGATCAGAACTTGCAAGATACACCGGGTGCAGCCGCGCGCACTAATAGCGTTATTTTTTTCCTTCCGTAATTTCATTGCTAAAGCTGTCTAAAGTAATAAGAAATAATAACATTTTTCGCCGTCTTTGAATCGCGGTGCTCGATGAACGTAAGCTGCATTTTGTCTTAAAAAGTGATTGGTACCGTAGATGATACGGAGGCCCTATGTAGCTATCCATTGTCTTTGCACTGTGTTAGAGCCTTGAACAAGCATTTGGTAGTACAGAATTCGAGGTCCCGCTGGCCTGCGCACTTCGCTCACCGTTTTCGAGAACAAGACACGGCTGTCACCCGTGCTTGAGAACGTTTTTCAATGACTAAGCTTAAGCTCCCTCAAATGAGCTGCAAATAAAAAGTAAAACTAGCAAGAATACCAGTCAGTATCACGTGTGCCTCTATGCTTGCCGAGTGTTGATGCAACTTGCCAGCCCCCCCTTCTGCAATCCAACAGACGCACAGCTGAAGCGAGCCGATGCGCAGCTAGAGACGTTGGAATTGCTTGACGTTCCATCCGCAAAACGCAGAAAACATCCACATTTAACCCCAATGCCTCACTCACTGTTCGCGCAAAGGGGCGTGGCAACCCCTCACGCCAATAATAAAACGAGGAAATACCTAGCAATCGAAGGGCCTGCCTTCCAGATGGTTCCTGTACGCACCATTTGGGTGCCCATTGTGGCCAGCTTACATCGCACCGAATTGCGATGTGCAGAAAGCTGAGAAACATTTGCGAACCGGCTATATCGTGCGAAATTCTGCAACCCTCTGAGACTGTGTACTGCGTGGGCTACTCATATGCAATACACTATGGCGGGCACTGCAGTTTCCCACATTTAGTTGCGTCACACACAGGTCCAGAGCGACAGAAGGAAAGAACCTCGCAACTGGTTGGATGGGACAGGCAATAGCTGCTGCCAAACTACTGGGTAACCTCCCAATTCCAGTACAGCCAAAAACAGGATCATAGACCAATGCGTCAGCATATGTTTGCGCGAATACCCAGCAGCATTTGTCAGGTTTCTAATTGTTTGTCCCGTTCACAATTCCCGTCTCGAGCGCCCCATGAGTTTTGCTGCTCCACCTGCATATGCCGCAATGCGTCTCGACTGAAGTACCGTTTCTCTATGCAGAGGTCTTCGGGGCCTCGATACAGCCTGCATCTCTGACATTCGAGCAGATCCTCTAAAGCTGGCTCCAGTGGCAACGCCCATCCTTGCTGCGCCAGTTCGGCGCTGCTGTTTTGGTACGTGAAGACTCATTGATGAAATGGATCGTGCGCGTCGCAAACCACGCCGCGAAGCAGCCACAACGTCTGTAGCTTCTGATGTGCGTTCTGAGGGCACTCCCTTAACTGCCGCCTCACCGGTTGGGGGCGTTTGGTTTTTGCTTTCTTCTTCAGTTTTCACGGAGTCGGCGATATGCCGTCGCTGTCTTTTCGCACCATTTTCTCCTTGTGCGGGGCGTTCGTGCACCGCAAAGAAGGACATCGCAGAGGCGGGAACATCGACAAGTGCGGCTCTTCCATGGTTTCTCCAATAATTCACAAAACGTGAAAGGCTTATACCGGAGAATTGCCAGGCCCCAGCGACGTTACGCACGCTGCTGCATCGACAGCTGCACGCAGAAGACAAACAAAAATGCAAACCCCCAAAGAGAAATGACTTCATGTAAAGGCAGGAAATAAAGAAGTCTTCACCACTAAACTGCTACGAAAGCAGCAAGACGAAAGCAGCATTCGCGAATGAAACTTCTGCATGAACAATTTCAGTATGTCTGTGTGGCGTTGGCGTTGGGTGTCCTCGCTCCTTGTTATTCTCTGTTTGTACTACACATTAAATAAGTCTACGGGAACGCATGAGGCCTCCTTCTACAGCCCTGGATCTACACAGAAGAGTTGCGCATGCTACGTACGGTGCTTTGGGGTGATCGATATGACTGCCTCCATCTAAAGGGGTTTCCCAATGTTTCGATAGGCAGAGTTGAGTCTTCATGAAGACGGCGGCATCTCTAGGAAAGAGATAAATGCTTTCTTGTGTGCAGCTTATAAGACGGTTTGATACAGGAGATTTAGAAGGAGTCAATGCCTCTTTATTGAGCGAATGGGGCACCATCTGCTGCGTAGCAGCGAAGCCGTACGCAAATAAACGCAAAACCAACGCCCTTATTATCGCCTCAGAGACCTCAGCAGGCAGCGAACGCCGGCACCTGCAGCAAAACAAACAACAACAGCACCTAAGACGAAAGGCAAGGATCTTCTTAAGCACCAGCAACGGCATCTCCTCCATCCATACAACTCCAAGGAAAAAGAAGCAATGATGCATGCAACTGCTCTTCTTAATTCTTTAATTATTTAACTTATACACACACAAACATGACGCTCAAACAATAACGGTGATGCTGCTGCAGCGAGAACATGCGTACAAAGACAACTGTGCGGGACGCCCACTACAAATATCCACAACCAGAATGCATGCACGCAGGCTTCTAAATATGTGTGCATGCGTACTTGTAAGCTTGTGCATGCATGCATATTTGTAGGCAAATGTTTGCATAAATAGCAGTAACCGTATGCATGCATGCATATTTGTAACTATGCATGCATGCAACTATAGAAATATGCCCGCATCCAGATACAGAAATGTGCATGCATGCAGGTACAGAAACGTGCATGCATGCAGACACAGAAGTACGCATGCACGCATATTCGTAAGCCTACGCAAGCATGCATGCATGCATGCATGCATGCATGCATACATGCATACTTGTAAGCATATGTATGCATGCATGCATGATTGTAAGCGTATGTATGCATGAATGCATATTTATAAGCATAGCATATTTATGCATGCATGCATATTTATAAGCATATGTATGCATGCTTATATGTAAGCATATGCATGCATGCATGTGCGTTAGTGGGTGGCGATACCAAAGGGCTCGAACGGAGCGCTCATAGGAGTCAAGAACTTCAAGTATTCCTCCAGCAACGGGGCAGTAGTGCACATCAATTCCTTTGGATTGTTCTTGTGGTGGGTTTTCAACAATAACGAGCACAAATCCCACAGCATTTTGACTGTTTAAGAGCTCCTGAATGCGTTTGATTTGTTCTTCTGCTCGCTCAATATCGGGTTGTTCTGTGTTTGCATCAACTGGGTTCCACTTGGTATGAGAAGCTGATCTATTTTTCATAACTTTCTCACAAATCCCCTGCACAGTTGAGACAGAATCCTTAGCTGGTAGCGGCAAACGCAACAGAAACGAACGCAGATTCATCCCATGCAGCAGCGAATCCGTTGCCTCTCCAATCTCCTGAAGGCTTCCTGCCGTCTGGGCCGTCATCCTCGAAATATGCACAAGCGAGGCATCCTATAATGGGGCATCCAATGAAAAAAAGAAGAAAAGAAATTCACCTACGATATGTATGACATGCGGGGAAAGTTGAACGAGTTGTACGGGAGGAAAGCGACGGAAAAATACAAACAAATGGGAGTAAAGTATTAATATTTTGCATTTACTTCTATGAATTCATCAAGAAGAATAAAAAATGCAATTCAAGAACTCATGAACTATGCGCATGAAAAACTTGAATGCAGTTGGCGTCTGAAATGAGAGGAAGCGTTGATTAGATTAAATTGCCGTCTTCTTCTTCTACTACTACTTCTTCTTCTGCTGCTGTTTCTGCTTCATTTAACATAAATTGTTTTACTTTATTTACTATTACTTTTAAAGAACACACCGTGCTTCCTTTTCCTTTCAAGTCTACTTCAAACAAACTTGCACAGACCACTCCTAATGCATGCAAGCTAATGCGACTGTTCCGCCTGCTTGCACATACGATTAGGTAGGTAAAAAGAAACATAAATAAATTTCATTTCTTTAATTTCAATAAAAATATTACCTATGCACCGTATAAAGACACAGAAGGCAAAATGTTTAAGCGCAGCGCCGGCAGATGCCTTCGATGAACGAGCTGCTGAGTCTTGTGTTTATTTGCTGTGAATTTAGAATTAAAAAAAATTAATTTGTTGTTCAATTAAATTAGTATTCACTCCAAATATCAAGCCCAGGGTCTAGAGCGTCAAAGACAGGAAAAGAACAATGCTTAGGCCTTCTGCTCCTAAGACGACAACATTCTGCAGTCAATATATTAAAAATAAATATTTGCATGTAATCTTTATTCCAAATCTATACTTAGTTAATTCTTCTTTGCCGCAACTTTTGCAGAAGGTAAACCATGTCGCAAGCAAACATTTTGATAGTATCCCACTGCACTTTATATTACATAATAAAATGCTTTTTCTTAGTATCGCATTACAATTTATACTACATAATAAATTGCTTTTATTTTGTATCACATTACAGTTTATACAATCAATTTAATTTAGTATCCCATTGCATTTTGTATTATATAATCAATTACTTTTTTTAGTATACCATTTCATACACTTAATTGCTGTATGTGGTTAACCCATTAAGCGCTTTACTCCTCGTGATCGTTTGACACCAAAGACGCAGATATCTTGGATTTTGCTTTCCTCTCTCTTATATACACATATGCATATATATATATTATATAATATATATATATATATATATGTACATTTTTATGCATATGTATACGAATATATGTATACTCATATATGCATACATGTAACGTATACATATATATATATATATAGCTATCTATTTATTTATAAATTTTTTATAAGTCAGGTTTTGTAGTGTCTACAATTTGCAGCTTCGTGCATATCTGCCTAACCAAGAGAGTAGCAGATAGCTTACACTGTCTTGCAGCAGAGCTTATACGCCCCGCAGATAAATTTGAATTTGATGTTTTGTTTTGCTGCTTTTATTCTTCTTTTCAAATAAAGAGTTAGTATCTTTGTTAATACCTTTTCGCTTCTGAGGAAGAGAGAAGATATTAACAAAGATATTAACTCGCTTTTTGCTTGCTTGTCACATATCAACGCAGTTGCGGTCTGTACTGAGTTCAACAGGTTAATAGCAATAATAACAATAATAAACAATAATAATAATAAGTAATAACAGCAATACTTAGCAATAATAATAGTAGTGATTATTTTATCCAGTCAATTAAACCATCTACTCATCAATATCTTAATGCATTTTCCAAAGCCAAACAAATGCAAAAGAAATATAACAACCCTAGGGGGGTGAAGCCCCTCTACAGCTAGCTGTGACAGATAGGGCAGTTGTGTTGCAGCTAACTATTTATATTGCAGCTAGCTGGGTCCAGCTCTTTGGTGAATTGCACCTAGCTGAGCCGCAGCTAGACGGGTAACAACTAGCGGAGTTGCAGTTAGCTGAGTTGCAGGTAGCTGAGATGAAGCTAGCTGAGCTGAAGCAAGCTAAGCTGAAGCTAGTTGAGTTGAAGTTAGCTGAGATGCAGCTAGCTGAAATGCAGCCAGCTGAGTTCCGACAAGGACTGCGTGGCTGAGAAGAAGTAGCAAGCGGAAGAATGTCTGTTGCTTCATTTAAGAAGAAGGAATTGCGTTTTACAATCAAAGAGAGTTTTTAGACATTTATTATACTATTTATTTATATTATTTAGATGTATGCCTGCTGCTCAGTGTAAGAAGAAGGAATTGCGTCTTAACTGATTTTTCATTTAAATTCAAAGATGACGTAGCTTGGGGTTCTGCTGGATGCTCACACTATCAATAATATAAATAAACAAAATAAATATACACAAATTATCTTTTATTGTTTTCTATGTTCGTTGCATTTCTCTCGTTTCAATTACCACTCAATAATCATTCAATTCTCATTCAGTTTCCACTTTATTGTCAATGACTGATGATTTAATTATTTAATTGTCATTTAATTATCGATTAGTTATCAAGTAGTTATCATTTAATCGTAGTTTAGTCGTCATTTACCTATCATTTAATTATAATTTAATTACAATTTAACTGTCATTTAATTATAGTTTAACTAACTATCGTTTTGTTATCGTTTATTTGTGATTTAATTATCGATGGGTTATTGCTGAAGTATCATTTTCTTGTTATTTAGCTGTTGCCAATTTAGTGTGACATCTCTATCATTCATATATCGTGTTGTTAATTCAATTAAATTATTGATTAATTATCATTTAATTATCGTTTAATTGTTATTTAGTTATTCCCTATTTATCTATTTATTTAAGTATCATTTTTTGTTTCTTTTATTATTAGTTACATTGTGGTAGAATGCCATTTTATTCTTATTAATAATTTATGAGTAATAACTAACTAGTATTTATTGATTACATCGTATATAATAATTACTAGTATTGTTGTTACTCACAGTTATTTTACTACTGCCTGCACTTCATCTTCATCATATCTCTGCATAACCAATAAACTCTTTATATGCTTACGTATATGTGCACACATGTTTTTATTTGCACATTATGAATATTATAAATAATAACATTCATAATAGTTGCGGTTTGTTCTTCCGTCCAGGGTGTTTGAAATAAAATAAATATTGTGACTTACGAATTAAAACTATGTACATCTGATGAAACGTACTCTATGGGTTGTACGTATATTCATGTTCCAGTATATGTTTTAGGTTTTATGTACACTTTAAATGTATTTGAGGTGTACCGCGGATATTATATATATTATTAAGATACAAAATATTTCATAGTAAACATTCAGCTTTAACTATACAAATTATGCATACACATATGTACAAGTATAATTGACAGTAAATATATATATATATATATATATATATATATATTTGGGGTTTTTCTTGGGCATTTAACGGGATTCTTTCGGAATTGAATGGTGAATGCAAACTGAAGCCGCCCGTTCTCTATTAATCATTTTTCTTAAAAAATGGAATTCACGGCTGCAAATAGAAGTTTGCAGAATCATATAACTTAGGCAGTTTGTCTAGTCAACGGCTGATAGAGAAAACTGTTAAAGGTCCAGTGGTCTTCGGGGAAGGAGAACCGCGGGAAAGCAGCTGCGAGCGTTTCGTTCTTGCATTTCTAAATATCTTCATTTGCAGACAAGAGAAAACTAAACTTCAGGGTTTTTAAATCTTCACTCAAAGTAAAAGAAAGCCAAGATGATGTCTGAAACAACTCGCTTGCAATTTCTGATCAGGTGTAGCTGCGTGGACAGGCGGCAGACCATGCGGGGGATTCTGCTTTCTAATATGCGGAAACGCTGAGAAACTATGAAGTAAAACAGTTTTAAATAAAAGAAAAAAGTTAAAATGCTTTGATTTTTGTTCAAAGAACGCAAAAAACATCAACCTGCAGCCGCGCGCTGCATTCCCTAGACTTCTGAGGTCGAGCCGCCGACTGAAAAATAGGTTGCTGTTGCTCTGTTATCCTTAAATATAAATTTAAATTTGACATGCCTTGTTAAAACCAAATTCAAGATTATTAATTTCTTCATTTTGATAAGCGAATCTTCAGCTTTCTACACGGGTTATCCCAAGAACGGACTGATCTGCATCGGCTTGACGATGGCTGCGGGCGGGTTGCATGAATTGCAGTGTACATGGAACTTGGTGCATACCTCTGTGCAGATCGGGGGTTATAGTAACATAAGTACTATTTTTTGAAAGAGTTTGAGTGAGTATTGATTTTTCAACTCTTTATTGCTGATATAATCGCTATATTCATTCGCAGCAGGCACTTATTGATGGGCCTTGCAGGAAGGCTCCCGCGGCACGTGAGAGGAAGTCGGCCTTCTTGAGTGTCTGCGGGTTGAATCCGCTTCTTTTGCAGAATGGAGTGGAGAAGTTTGCATTTTAATGTTTCTTCGAAGTCCTCGGACTTGTTTATTTCAGAGTGATGTCTCTCCTTTGCAATGGAGCAGCAAACCCGCTCCTGGTGGCGGCCCTACGAGACCTCTCTTCATCTCAGCAACACCGGCGAAGACCTCTCTGCCTATGCCTCTCAACACCGCCAGCCAACCGTTCCTCCTGAAGCCTTAGAGAGCTGCCGGGGCTCCTCGTGTGCGTCTCTTGACTGTGTCTCGGTTGCTGCTTCCCCTGCAGCAGCAGCGGACACACAGTCAAGAGACGCGCCTCCCGATTCCCCCCCAACCTTCAGAAATGGAGCTTCTGGCCTTTCACAGTTCCTTGAGGCCCCTGCTGCCGCATGCAGCCCCAAGAGGCAACAGCACATTCAGCCGGTTGACTCAGCGGATGCAGCAAAAGCAGCGAGAAATCAGAGTGATATTATACTGCGTGGACACCCTCGGCACACACATGCAGGAGCAGCAGCTGCTGCAGCAGCTGCTGCACTTCCTTTTGAAGAGCAGACAAAGCAATGGAAAGGCAGCTCCAAGATGAGTCGGCTGGAGAGAGCAGAAGCCATTGTTAGGGAGTTGCTGCAGGAGGCGGCGATATTAAAAACTGAAAACCGCCGACTGCGTGCAGAGGAAGCAGCAAGAAAAGACATGCAGCATCAACATGCAGCAGGAGCAGCAGCAGCAGGAGTATGCGTCAGCACAGACAATGAAGATGAAAGGGCGGTGCGGTGGCGGCTGCAGCAAAGGCAGGAGCAGCAGCAGCAGCAACAACAGCAGCAGCAACAACAGCTGTTGCTGCTGCAGCAAGAGCTGCAGCAGCTGCGCATGCGAATAAAAGAACAGGATATGGAGTTGCAGCAGCTGAGGCAGCAAACATCTCAAGAGGCTGCATATATGGAGGCCTGCCGACAGCCGAGTGAGCGTCAGGTGTACAGACACTTGAAACACGAGACGCACAAAATGCAAATCTTCTTAGACTTCAGTCGCCGTTCTGTTGTTGTCTTTAGCTGCATCTCCATCTGCATGCATTCTTCTCCAAGATATAAATTGTATTCTATAAATGCGTGTACATATATATATATGTATATATATATTCAACATTCTTATCATGTGTATAACTCTCTATTACGTCGTATATTGTATTAACGAGTGTTGTGTATGCGGCGCTGCATGCGTTTAGTGCTGCCGTTGGATTTTTCTTTCATTGGGGCGGTGGGAAGTGGAGAGACAGCAGACCTTCCGCCGCGGCAGCAGCAGCAGCAGCAGCTGCAGCAGCAGCTGCAGCAGCAAATGGAAGAGCTGCAGCGAGAACGGCAACTAAAAAGCGAAATGCAGATTGAATTGCGCCAACTCAAAGACAGAGACAAAAGCAGACAGGCGGAGGTGAGGAGTTGCTGCTGCTTCATGCATGCATATGCATGCATGCAAAGAGATAGAAATGCATGCATGCATGTAAATAGACAGAAGCGCATGCATGCATTTCTATTTGTCTACATGCAGCACAGCAGAGATCGATTGAAAGCAAAGGGTGAGGAGAAGCAGAATTTGTTTGGATTAATGCTGGGGTGTATATGCAGGTTGAGGAGTTGCGGCGCTGCTGCAGCAGGCTGCGCGTAGATCTTCAGCAGCAGCAGGAGGAGTCTGCTGCTGCTGCTGCTGCAGCAGTGGAGCTAGGAGCAGCAGCAGCTGCTGCGAAAGCAGCAGACATCAGCACCAGAGGAGTATTAAAACAAATAGACAGCAAACTACGAGCAGAAATCAAACAACAAATTCAAAGCAAAATCGCCATGCAAGCGCAACGAACAGAGGCAGAGGTAAATAAATAAATAAAACAAATAACAAAAATAACAAAAATAGACAAAACAAATAAACGAACAACAGAGAGAAACAAAGAACAGAAATAAGCCAACAAACAAAAAATCAATACATGAAAATCTAGGGATATGCGACTTCACCTATTTATTTGTTTTTGTTTATGTGTTTATTACTGCTATTATTATAAGTAATAATAATAATAGTAATAATAATAATAATTATCACTGTTTTACTTAATATATATGGATGCGCATAGAAAGATAAAAAGAGACAGAGAGATGAACAGTTAAAGGACATCCAGTTATTTATTTATTTTTTTTTGTTTTGTTGTGTATTGCATTATACAGATGGAGGCGAGCCGTCTGCGCGTGGAGTTGCAGCGGGTAATAGCACGAAAAGAAGAAATAAATAAACGCTTGAAGGGAAGAGAAGAAGAATTGTTTTGTTTGTTGCAGCGAATGCAGTGTATGAACACTCAACAAGAAAAAGCAAACGCCAATATGCAGCAACAAAAAGAATTGCTTCATCGCTACCGCACTTATATTTTCTTTCTTGAAAAAATAATCAAAGATTTAAAAACTCACATTCTAACGGAAGCAAAAAATGCAGTTCCTCAAAGACAAAATTATAACAATCATATTTCTTCCTTTTCTTCTTCACCTCAACTTACACCGAAAAACAACAAATATATCAAATACAACAAAGGGGGGGGCCCCAAGGGGCCCTCCTTTGGGGGGGGCACCCAGGGGGCCCCTCAGGGGGCCCCCAAAGGGGCCCCTAAGGGGGCCCCCACAGGGGCCTCTAAGGGGGCCCCCAAAGGTGTAAGCTTACGGCTGGGGCCGTCTTCTTTAGACGCTGGGGGAGGCACAGGGGCCCCCATTACAGCAAATATCGAAGGGGAAGAAGAAATATTAGGGGGCCCTCGGGGGCCTCCGTGGGGAGATGAGGGGCCCGCGTATGCGGTGTCTGTTGCCGAGCAAATTAGAAACAATGAACAGAATAGCCGCAGCAGCAGCAGCAGCAGCAGCAGCAGCAGAATGAGGAGAAGGGGAAGCGGCTTCACTTCACCTAAATTCGAAGATGAGAAATTCAACGTACGGTTGGAAAGCGGCAACGAATGGGGCGGTGTATGCACACCCTGGGGTGTACATACACCTCAAGAAAGAGAACAACAAAGAGAAGAAGAAAAAGAAGATGAAGAAGAGAATCAATCTATGCGGGAGCTGCAGAGGCTAATTGCAAAAGCAGCAGATGAAATAAAGGCGACCCTCAGTGTAGCCAGGAGGGGAAAGAAAAAGCGAGAAAACAGCAGCAAATTCAATCTGCTGCAGACAAACCAACAAGAAAATGCCACTACTACTGCTGGTGATGCTGCTGGTGCTGCAGCATCTGCTGCTGCTGGTGCTGCTGCATCAAGCTCCCCCCGCATTGAAGCAGCAGCAGAAGAAATTCTTTTAAATTCTCCTCTAAAGAAGTGCAGCACAATTGAATCTTCTCCTCGGGGTGTCCAGACACCTGATTATTTGAAAGGTGTTGAGGAGACAGCAACAGACTTGGATATTGATTTTCTTCTTTGTGAGGAGTTTGCTGCTGCTGCTGCAGCAGCAGCAGCAGGAAAAGAGTGCAGCAGAGGGTTTGGGGCTTCACTAGGATTAAAGAGAAGCCGCATGCAAACTTTTAAAGAAGAAAATGCAGCAAAAAACCTCAAAAAAGAAATTGCTGTTTTATTCCCCAAGGCATTTGAACGGCTGGCGAAGAGGGGAATGATAAAATAAATTAATTTCTTTTAATTTATTTCTTTCTACTCATCTGTCTTTTTTGTTAATTTCCTTCCAATTAACTAATTCTTTTTTTTTAAATTAGTGTGCTATTTACTCTTTTTTATTTCTTTTCCTTGTTAGTTTATTGTTGTTTGTCTGTTTATTGTTGTTTGCTTCTGCCTCCTCTTCCTTCCTTTCCTTTCCTCTCTAAACCCACACCTCCATAAAAAATAATAATATTTAATGATAATACTAAATAATAATAATGAGAGAATGAACGGCACACACTGCTAATGCAAATCCTGCTGCTGCTACTTTTATTGCTGGTGCTGCTGCAACATACTGCTGCTGCTGCCGCTTACTCTGATGGTATTACTACTGCTGCTACTGCTGCTGCTGCTATTGTTGATGCTGTTGCTGCTGCTGCTGCTACTGCTGCACTAGGGTGTAGGAGCGGCGTTGCATTTCTCTTCTCCAGAGCCACAAAACATTCGAAGAAAGAAAAAGATGTTGCTGCAGCAGCAGCTGCAGCAGCAGCAGCAGCTTGCTGCTGCAAACCAAATGAGAGAGAATGTTGCGCTTGTACTTGCTGCTGTTTAAGTGCAGGAGCAAGTACAGCAGCAGCAACTGCAGCAGTAGCAGAACTGCAGCAGCAGGTTGCTGAATATAAAATGAATTATCTGTTTGCTTGAAAGACGAGTTGTGATAAATCTGCGAGGAATATTTTAGAATTTAAAATTGTTGTGCCTCCGAGGTGTATACACACTCCACTGCTTTGTGATAACTCCATCATTTCTCTTTCTTCTTGGTATGTCGCGCCTCCTATTATAAACACCAACACCTGCAGTGCATGCAATGCACAAAGACAAATTAAAAAGAAGTAAAAAGAAAAATAAGCAAACAAATACGAATCTTTCGTGTTGTACATTGGTGTATATAATATACATATATATAATATATATATAATATCTATATATATATATATATGTATATATGTATTGATTGAATAGCCTCTATTCTACATATTTCATATTGTATATATTTTATATACCATCAAACAAACAGATAGAAGGATATACATACACACACACACACATATATATATATATATATATGTAGGCATCTACAGACTTAGATGAACATATATTCTACAAAATATAACATATAATGTATATATATATATATAAGCTTAGTATAAAAGAAAGAAAGTAAAAGAATAATTAATTACTTCTTTCGGCGGCGTTGCGGTGTCTGTTGGCGTCGAAACTTCAAAATGTTGGCCAAACAAATTTTCCTTCAAACGGCCTAAAAATAAACAAATAAAAAATAAATAAATATATATATATATGTACATATGTATGCATGTATATATGTATATATGTATATATATATATATGTATATATGTATATATGTATATATGTATATATCAGCTATTTATGTATATTTGAATATATTATATATACTTTATATATTATGTGGTGAATGTACAAAACAAACACTCAAACAAAGCAAGCAAACGAAAAATAATGTAGAATACAACAGACTGAAAAACAAACAAAACCCAAAAATTGAGATAACGTCGCAGAGAGAAACAAAATTGCAGAGAGGAAATAAAAAAAATATAAATAAATGCAAATATAAATAAATAAAACAAATACAAATGAATAAATAAAGCAGATACAAATAAATAAATAAAACAAATGTAAGTAGATAAATAAATAAACCTACTTAACTAATTAGTTAATTGATTAATTAGCGAGCTAATGAATTAATTAATTAATAACTTAATAAATAAATAAACTAATTAATTAATTAATTAATGCTTCACCTTTAAGAAGAGAATCCACAACAGAATAAAGAAGACTTTTGTGCTGAGTGTAGACATTACTCACGCCCTAACAAACAAATACAGAAAAATAAATACATATAAACAAACAAATATAAATAAATAAACATAAACAAGTAAATAAATAAACAAATAACAATAAATATATCATACGAAGGTTGAAGAATAAACAAATATCAAAACAAATATTAAGCAAATAAGCAAAACAATAAAATAATAAATAATAAACAAATATAAACTGAGAATATAATTACGTTTATATGTAAATATGTATATATATATATATGTTAAAAATAAATGCAAATAAACAAACAGACTGATACATTAACAGGCGTAGTAATGAGCGGGCAGCGAATAAAAAAAATTAAATAGATAGATTAATTGAAATAAATAAAAAACAAATAAATAACTGATTAAAGCCTTCATAGTTGATGCGAGAATAAATGAACAAACAAACAAATAAATAAATAAAAAACAAATAACAAACGAATAAATAATAAATAATAGATTAATATGTATACATAGTTGTAGGCAAATATAAATAAGAATAAATAAATAGATGCGCACAAGCATATATATGTACATAAATATATATATAATCATTTAAAAATATATTTCAATAAATAAATAAATAAATATATAATATATATATAAATTATATACATATATATTATATATATATACACTTAAAAAACTGAGCAGAGTTTACTTGGATGCCCTTTGCGAGGTTTTTCGCAGTTTGTAGCAGATTCTTTCCTTGCTGCAGATGCTGCTGGAAGCTGCTGCTGCTGCTGTTGCTGCTGCTGCTGCTGCTGTTTGATGTGTACAGCTCTATAGCATCAATTAAAGACAAGCTCGTGCTGCTGCTGCTGCTGCTGTCAATGCCGTGCTGCTGCTGCTGCTGCTGCAGCTCCATCCTCAGCGCGTTCGTCTTCGCTCTGTCTTCATATCTGCACACATCAATAATAACCATAAGAATAATAAATAATAAAAGCAAGGTACAAATAAACAAAAAATAAACACGAGTGAAATGAACAAAAGCGAAAATAAACGCATGCAAACTGCAGCAGCAGCAACAGCAACAGCAACAACAGCAGCAGGAAGATCAACAAAAGCAGCAACAACAATAGCAAAAACAAGACAATAACAACAGCAGCAGCAAGAGCAGCAGCAGCAACAACACCAGCAACAGCAACAAAACAACAGCAGCAACATAATCATCATCATCAGCAGCAGCAGCAAAAGCAAAAGCATCATCAGCAGCAGCAGCATCAGCAGCATCATCAGCAGCAGCATCATCAGCAGCATAATCAGCAGCAGGAGCAACAGCAGCAGCATAATCAGCAGCAGGAGCAGCAGCAGCAAACCTGACTGCGAATAGCAACACGAGTCTGAGTTTATCGAGTAGGGAGACGTTGTGTTCTTGAGTAATAATATTTTTAATTTCAGCGAAATCTTCTTGTTTATTTCTGTGCGTCGCCATGCGCTGTTCTAACTCCGACAAAAAGAGAAGGCGTCGCTCCCGCACAACTCGCGACAATTCGTGCACCAGCGTTATGTGCTTCAATACAGAGCCTTCACAAATAAATAAATAAATAAATAAATAAATGTAAATAGATTAAAATGTTAGTGTATGTAGTTAGTGTAGATATAAATGCGTATCTATATAATGCACCAGCGTTGTGTGCTTCAATACAGAGCCTTCACAAATAAATAAATAAATAAATATATATAAATAAATAAATATAAGTAAATGTATAAAAATATAAACAAATATAGGTGTAAATAATTATGTAAATGCGTATCTATACAATGCACCAGGGTGATGTGCTTCAATCCAGAGCCTTCATAAATAAATAATAAATAAATATATAGAAAAATATATAAACAAACAACTAAAGAAACAAAGAAACAAACAAACAAGCAAATGAATAAATGAATAAATAAATAAGCAAGCAAACAAACAAATAAAATAAATAAATAAATAAATAAACGAAGTACCTGACAGCTGTTTGCACTCGGGTAAATTTTCAACGATATCCCTCAACTCCTCTGCTGTCGTCACATGGTCGTACGACTTTGTCTACAAAACAAATAAATAAATAAATAAATATTTAAACAAATAAATAAAAAGAAATAAATACAACAACACACTATATACTTTTACAGCCGCGCTAGCAGTAACACGAGAAGCAGCAACAGCAACAAACGCCAGCAGCAGCAGCAGCACCCTCAGCAGCATCCCCAGCAGCACGATCAACAGGATCCCCAGCAGCAGCAGCAGCAGCAGCAGCGCCCCCAGCAGCAGCCCCAGCAGCAGCAGCCCCAGCAGCAGCAGCAGCCCCAGCAGCAGCAGCAGCAGCAGCAGCAGGAGGCGTTGAAATGCGTCTGCGGTTTGCATTTACTTTTTGTTGATATTCTTCTAAATGGCGTTTAACTGCAACCCCCAAATCACCGAAGTTCGACATGCAATGCTGAGGTGCGCATACACCCCAGACCATCAACAAATAAACAATTAAACAAATAAACAAAACTATAAACCCTAAACCCTAAACCCTAGACACTTATAAACGGCAAAACACACATCCATATGAACAAATGCTGCTGCTGCTAGTGCTGCTACGGGTGCTGCTACTGCTGCTGCTGCTGCTACTGCTACTGCTGTTGCTGCTGCTACTGCTGTTGCTGCTGCTGCTACTGCTGTTGCTGCTGCTGCAGTTACCTCTGCATAGAAGGGGTCGTGCGTTTGCGAGAGGAGAATTTCCTTGACTTCTTCATTTGCGTTTGTTTTTGTGTTATTTGTTTGAACTTTCTTCAAATTGACTCTGTTTAAATTAATGCCGATTAACTCGTGAACCATCGCCTACACATTGCACACAACATATCTGCTATCGTGCTGCTGCTGCTGCTGCTGCTGCTGCTGCTGCTGTTGCTGCTGTTGCTGCTGTTGTTGCTGTTGCTAATCGCGCTGCTGTTGCACTTATATGTATATGTAATATATATATGATAAATAAATACGTAAACGCATAAACGCACAAACAAGCAAACAAACAAACAATTAAACAATCAAACAAAACGAACAAACACAGCAAACGAACAGACAATTGAACAATCAAACAAATGAGACAAAACAAACAAATAAACAAACAAACAAACAAATAACTATTTGAATTAAATAAACAAACAAGATACAAACAAATAAATAAATAAATAAATGTTGAGCTTACGGTGTATGTCCACTGAGTAAGTAGTGGTGTTACAGCGTCCTCGGTGCGGTCGTAGAGCAAAACCACGAGACGGCTACCCTCTCTTCCTTTAAACAAACGAACAAATCAAATACTATTATCTTCTTCTCCTGCTGCTAAGCCTGCTGCTGCTGCTGCTGCTGCTGCGGTGCTGAAGCAGCAGATACAGCAGCACATGTAGCAGCAGCACTGGGAACGACAGCAGCAGCAGCAGCAGAAGTAGCAGAAGCAGTAGCAGCAACACAGACGGCATCAGCAAGAGGAGGCGGTGCAGCAGCAGAAACAACAAGAGCACCAGCAGCAGCAACAGCAGTAAAAACAGCAACAACAACAGCAGCAACAACAGTAGCAGCAACAGCAACAGCAGCAGCAACAGCAGCAAGAGAGGCACCTGATTGTGCAGATGCTTGCTGCTGGTTTATATTAGGCGGCTTTGTCTGCATCCATTTGCTGCTGAGTGTTGCAGCAAGCCGCGCAGCAACAGAGCTGTTTCTTGAAAAACGGATAAGAGGAGCAGCAGCAGCAGCAGCAGCAGACGAAGAAGAAGAAGAAGAAGAAGAGAGTAAACAAATAACAGAAAATAAACCGTCAACCATTCGTTGAAAGATGCTTTCTTCATACGGACCCCAAGAAGAGACAGGCTGCAGCTGCATGCATTAAAATGAACACAAAATAAACAAATATATTTATTTAAATAAATGCACATAAACAAATATATTTGTTAAAATAAACAACAGAACTGCAGATGGTGATGCTGGACAGACAGCCGACAACTCTGAACAATTCAAGCAACAGTTGCAATACAAATACACAAAAATTAAAATAGTAATAATAATTAATAATAAACATAATAACAATAACAAAATAATAATAAACAATAACAAGAAGCAGAAACATAACCGTACATAATATATATAATATATATTATGTATATTGTAAATATTATATATATTATAATATATAGAACCCATATATATATGTATATATATCTCTTTATATATTTATAATATACATAAAATATAATTAAATTAAAAATATTTTAATTACCTGCAGCTGAGAGACCGCCGGAATGCAGAGAGAGAAAAGACGAGGGCTGAGAGGAACGAAGTCTATCAGCAATTCAAACACCTAACAAATAAATAAACAAACAAATAAACAAATAAATAAATAAATAAATTAATTAATTAATTAATTAAATCAAGAAATATAATTAAGCGCTATTGAACATTTGGCATCCGATAGATAAAACAAACGAAATAAAAACATATAGGTCTGCATCCGCCCTAGCGGTGTATTTGTATATATATATATATATGTATATTATATATACATATATGTATATATACATATATATATATATTAACTCTATATTATAAATATTCATGTACATATAAATATACAACTTTGAATATAGACGTCAACATAGATATAAATTTATGTATACATGCATTCTACGGGTTATATATATACATATACATACATATATATATATATATGCAGATATATATATATATATTGATATATGCATTATATAGAGTTAAAGGTATTGGTAGCTTCGCTTATAATGAGTAAATTATTTTATTTTTTTTGTGTTTATATCCGTGCAGTTTGTACACCGCATTTATTTTTTCATTAATTTCAATCAATGTCTGCTAATACTATAATTAAATTATGTGCATTTGTTTAATATTATAAACAAACATTTGTTCTATTTTCTTTATATATTACTTTATTTTATTTAAATGTATTTCCTTAACTTAGATTTGTTTGTTTTATTTATCCTTTTTTATCTTGTTTATTGCACAACACTATAATTAGATTATTTCTACTAGCTTAATATTTATTATATTTCATTTAAATGTATTTATTCCATTGATTTAATAGATTTAATTAATTAATTTAATTAATTTATTTCTCACCTGTGCTATCTTGTCTGCATAATCATGACGGGCGAGACGTTTGAGTGTATCTGACTGTCTTTGAAGAGAAGCAGAGAAGAATAAGTGAAGATCTTTAATACGTCGCTGTTGCAGCTGCTGCAGCTGCTGCTGTTGCTGCTGCTGCTGCTGCTGTTGCTGCTGCAGATGGTGTAGGTGGTGCAGGTCTTGCAGCTGCTGCTGCTGTTGCGGCATCTGCTGCAGCTGATGGTGTGGGGGCAGCTGCTGCTGCTGCAGCAGCTGCAGCAGCAGCAGCAGATTTTGATTTGTGGGGCGTACAAAGCAAACAGTGCTGAGGTGCTCATAGTTTCCCGGTGTAAACGAATCAAGTCTTTCTACAAGAAAAACCTGCAGCAAACAAATAAAATAAATCAATAAACAGCATTTATTCATGCATGCATTTATTTGCATGCATTTATTTCAACTTTAAAAAATAGAGGCGAAGAAATTAAGACAGACAAAAACAAAAAAAAGCAGAGAAGAAGAAAACAGTCGTTCTGTAGATATACTTCCTTCAAAATTATTTTACAAAGAAATATACCCATATATATATACATATAAATATATATATATATATATACAAACATATATATATATATATACATATATATATATGTTTGTATATATATATATATGTATATATATATATATATTTAAATGTATATATAGGTAAATAAACTAGTTAAATAAAGAATATTTATCTTACTTCTTTTTGCAGAATATCTGACTGAGACAAAATACAAGAGACTGCAGCAACAGTTTCATTGTCTAACAGCAGCACTTTTAGGCCCGCTGCAGCGCGCAGCATTGCCTGCAAATGCTGCCGACATAAACGCAGCAAATCTTCTCGCCCCATCCTCTTGTTCTTTTCTTATTATTTTTATTATTGTTGTTATTGTTGTTATTATTATTACTGCTGTTCTCCGCACTATTCTGCTTATTGTTGCTGCAATAATAATGCAATATAGACAAAGGGAAGAGCAGCAGCAGCAGCAGCAGCAGCTGCGTTCAGCAGCAGCAGCAGCAGCAGCAGCAGCGGTGGCGCTCTTCAATTCAACAGTAGGGGAGACCCCTAGTTGCGTCCATCGTTATTAAAAAGACAAAAAATAAATTTATTTATATAATTTGCATGCAATACGTCTCATGTGCTTCGCCTGCACTCAGCACAATCCCCAGCTAATGCTGCTGCTGCTGCTGCTGCTGCTGCTTCTGCTGTTGTTTTCTTCTCTTGAATGATTCAGCCATTGGGTGTAATTAGGCGGCTCATTGCCGCGCTCAAATCACCACATGGATGGTTCTTTTTGCTGCATGCGTTGCTTCTGTTTGCTTCTCTCCTGCTGCACTGCACTCCTCAGCGGTATAATAATAAGAATAATAAATAGTAATAATAATAATAACACCAGCTACTGCAATTCCCTAAAGCATAAACCCCAAACCGTAATCGCCGACGCAGCAGCTTAAGTGTGGCTGTTGTTTATTTGCTGCTTCAGCATCTGAGGGTTTGTATGAGGGGCCGTTCAAACTGCTGCAGCAGATAGAGCGAGACGCAACGAGGAGGAAGAGCAACAGCAGCAGCAGCAGCTTTCTCCTGCAACAGAGAGCAGCAGCGCCTTCTACTCCTCGTGGAAACAGAAAATGATAGAGTAATTCTGCAGCAGCAAAGAGCAAAGAAGCTGCATGCAAAAGAAAACAAAGGAAGCCGCAGCCTGCTCGCTAGTAAAGCGAAACAAAACACCAGTCAAGAAAATCGTTCAATTCTCTCAGTGTTGAAGAAAGCAGGCCTAGAAATGGGATTCAATTGAAAGAAGATCTCTAAAAAGAAGAAGAAAAACGCAAAACAAGGCGAAATGCCTCAAAATATATTCAAAAAAGGCTCAAGAATAACTTGTGGTGTGTCGGCCGCTGCATGTGGCGGTCAACCTCCGACCATCAGGTGTACATACACCTCAGAAAGGCGAAAAGAGAAGCGATCACCTTTTGAATTTAGGCAGAATGCATAAAAGCAACAATTCAAATATTCTTTTTATTCTTATTTTCCCCTTGTGGGGGGCTGAGGGGAGCAAAGACTCCGCTTCTATAGTCCCAGCGACTCCTCAGCGGTGCGGATGGGCTGCAGCCGTCGGGGCTTTGCGCATAAAGAATTGATTTTTTAGACGAAACATAGTAAATAAATAAATATTTCGCTTCTTTTGATCCTATTATTTCTGAAAACCGTTCATAAATACACCGTGGATCGCCCAAGCTGAATGCCCCCGCCAGTGGGCAGTCGGCAGCGGGGGTTGCATGTACAGGAAGAACAGTCGAAAAATAGGAAAAACTGACATTCTTTTTTAATAATTTAGCATTAAAAACATTATTAGAAACAATTGAAGGCATTTTTTGTCTTCTTTCTCGCTTTTTCTAGTGCAGCCCGTCCCCCAGATGCGGCGAGCTCTGAGGTGTACGTACACCTCAACACCTTGTATGTATGTACAGGCCTCTTAAGGCCCAAGGAGTGTGCAGCAGATATGCGTCGAAGTTTAGGCCCTGCTGCAGCGCAGTGTGTGCACACCTGAGAAGAGTCTGTGCGCCGTGAACCCAGGCAAAAGCAGCAACATTTGATGCTCCATACTATATATATTATATATATGTAGAGAGAGAGAGAGAGAGACAATGGCTGCAAAAGAAAGAAACAACAAAGAAGAACAAACGCATGCAAACACGCATGCAACGGTGGGAGGCTTGACTGTCGACGTCATGAGCGAATGTAGGGTTTAGGGTTTAGGGTTTAGGGTTTGCGGCCTTTAATAAATAAATGCGACTCTTTCTCTTTGCTTTGCTGCAAGCCTTATTCAAACGTAGGGAGAAACAAACAGAGAAAAATAAATAGAGAAAAGCAAACAAAGACAACTAAAAAACAAACGGAGACATATAAACAGAAATGAGTAAAGACAAATACAGATAAATAAACAGCAGTAAATAAGCACAAACATACGGACAAAGGCAAATAAACCGATAAATAAATAGGTAAACATATAAACAGGGATAGATACAACGAGAAAAAATAAACAAATACACCGCAAATGCTAACACTATAACAAGCGAAGAGCATCAGCGGTGAGAGACACAGAAAAAGGAGATTAAAATGAAGAACAAAAATTAAACAAAGACAGACAACTGCCGGCAACAGCAGATATAAACAAAAAATAAAAAGAAAGAATCAATGAGCAGCATAAAGGACAAAGAGAAGACCGCAGAAACAAACAAAGGCGAGAAAGATAAATGTATGAAGAGAAAAACAAACAAACACAGACAAATCAACTTTAAAATAAACAAAAAGAAAAACCCAAAGACAAATAAACAGAGGCAAATAGACAGAGAAAAGTAAAAGGAGAAACAAAACCGCAATAAATAAATAATAAAGCGAGATAAATAAATCAAAGTAAATCACTAGAAATAAACAAATACGGAGAAAGTTGACTATAATTCAAAAAGAGAGGCTAAAGAAAGTATGTTAGATAACACCAGCAAATAAACACAAGTATATTTTCCTCCTTTCTGCTGCTTTCGTTGAAGCAGTCTGCTTTTAGGGTCTGTTTGCTTCTCGTCATGAGGCGGACTTAGGGTTTAGGGTTTAGGGTTTAGGGTTTAGGGTTTAGGGTTTGGGGAGTAATAACGAGGGTTTAGGGTTAAAGGTTATAGAGAGCGTTTAGAGTTTAGAATTTAGGGTTTAGGGTTTAGGGTTTAGAGTTGTGGGTTTATTGTTTAGAATCAGACCCAGCGGTTTTTATTTTTATTTTTATTTTTATTTTGTTTATCGCTACTGCGGTGTCTGCGCAGTTAGAATGCTGCGTTAATGATTTCTACATCATTGAACGACTAAACAAAACGTAAATAAATAAATAAATAAATAAATAAATAAATAGATTTATTTTAACTGTCTGTACACCGCAGCTTTCAGCCTCTCTAGCGGCGACTGCGATGAAATAAATTTTGAAGAAATTCAAAGGGAGACTCTGAGCGGAGATTTGGAGGCTGAGGTGTACAGGCAGTTCATGCAAGAAGAAGACACTGAAAAAGAAGAACAGGAAAATAAATTAGATTATAATATCCAAGACTTAAATACACTAGAAGCAAAAGCAAATGAAATCATCAAAAAACAAAAAGGTTTGCTGCGAAGCCTTCGAAGTTGTTGCTGTTGCTGCTGTTGCTGCTGCTGTTGCTGCTGTTGCTGCTCTTACTGCTCTTGCTGCTGCTGCTCTCGCTGCTGCTGCTTTCGCTGCTGCTGCTCTTGCTGTTGCAGCTCTTGCAGTTGCTGCTCTTGCTGCTGCACCTCCTCCCTCTTTTTTTGTGTTGCTGCTGCTGCTGTTTCTCCTTCCACTGCTGCCCCTGCTGCTGCTGTTGCTGTTGCTGCTGCTGGTGTTGCTGTTACTGCTGCTGCTGCTGTTGCAGCAACGTATACAGCAGCAGCAGCAGCAGCAGCAGATAGAGGACGGTCTGCATGCATTTTGTTTGTTTGTTTTTGTTTGTTTTGTCGTTGCTTGCAGCTGCTGCTGCTCGCTCTTTTGTTTCAATCAACCCCTCTTTGTTGGTCTCCACAGATAATGAAGAGGATTTCATTTTAAATTTTCTTCAAACGCATAATTTAATTAAAACGCTAAAGACCTTCCAACTCGAATGGTCAGCATCTTCCTGCTGCTGCTGCTGCTGCTGCCGCCGCTGCTGCTGCAGCTGTTGCTGCTGCTGCTGCTGCTGCTGCTGCTGCCCGCTGCTGTTTTTGCTGGTGCAGATGCTGTTGCTGCTGGTGCTACTGTTGCTGCTGCTGCTGCTGCTGTTGTTATTGGTGCTGCTGATGGTGCTGCTGTTGCTGTTGTTGCTGCTGCTGCTGTTGCTGCTGCTGATGGTGCTGAGGTGTTGTTGCTGCTGGTGTTGCTGCTGCTGATGCCGTTGTTGATGAGCCGCAACGCTGCTGCTGCTGCTGCTGCTTCTGCTGCTGCAGCTGTTGCTGCTGTTGCTGCTGTTGCTGCTGCTGCTGGCAGGTTTGAATCTCAGGTGAACAGAGAAGGCAGCAGCAGCAGCAGCAGCAGCAAAACAAAAAGACAAGAGCAGCAAACCCCTGACGTATTTAAAGTTAATGCTGCACTCAGACAAGAAATTCTCTCCCTCACGCACTCCCTTCAAGAAGCAAAAGAAATCGCAGAAAAGAAAAGGCAAACCCTAAACCCTAAACCCTAAACCCTGAAACCCTAAACCCTAAACCCTGAAACCCTAAACTCTAAACCCTGAACACTGACGCGATGCCCTGTTTACGTTTTCATTTAAAGGGTTTAGGGTTTGTCGTTGAGGTTTAGGATTTAGGGTTTGCATTGAATGAGAAGCATAGAGCAACTGGCTGCAGTAAACAAACAAACAAACAAACAAAATAAAACAATAAAAGAAGCAGCTGAGAGAAAGAGAAAAAACAAAAAATAAATGCTGCTGCTGTTGCTGCTGCTGCTGTTGCTCTTGTTGCTGCTGCTCTTGCTGCTGCTTTTGTTGCTGCTGCTGCTGCTTTTGCTGTGGCTGTTGCTGCTGTTGCTGCTGTTGCTGCTGTTGCTGCTGCTGTTGCTGCTGCTGCTTCTGCTGCTGCTGCTTCTGCTGCTGCTGCTGTTTTTGTTTGGTTTCAGTGCTGCGTTTGATTTATTTAAAAAAGAAAAAGATATCCACCGACTCTTCAGCAGAAAATTACACAGAGAAAAAGAAGAACTCCTAGGTAGAAAAACGCTGCTGCTGCTGCTGCTGTTGCTGCTGCTGCTGCTGCTGCTGTTGCTGCTGCTGCTGCTGCTGTTGTTGTTGTTGTTGCTGCTGCTGCTGCTGTTACTTGTGTCGCTTTTGCTC